CACCCTTTTTTATCAAATCCATATTGTTTTGGATTTTCTCAAATTTATAATTAAAAATTGCCCATGTATACAGTCCTCCTGCTGCTGCCGCTCACAAAACATAACTGCGTGATTATTTTTGTGGGAAGGGAGGGGAAGGGTTGTTAGGCAATAAATTAGTGTCTATAATTTTGTGTGCAAAGATGTAGGGGCACCTACCACAACCACGCACTCCTCACCTCAAACTCAATTTTCACTGTCACGAAAATGGACTAGAATTCTCTTCCTTCTTCTTTTTATTATCTTTCCTTATTTCTCTCACATTCTTTATTTTATTTTTCTCTTTTTATATAAAATTAATATAAGATGTTGACGTGACTTAACCGTAACTGTTCAAATAGGAGAGGAGGGAAAGGAAGGAGAAAAAAGAGGGAAATAATCATACTCCGACAAAAATACAGTGTTAACAGGAAATGTTATTATACAAGAACACTAGAAAAATTATTATTTTTAATTGTATAGTAATACATGGTATACTGGTTGTGTTTCAGACATATTGAAACCTCTCTCTTCTTCATGTAAGAAAAAGACTTTTATTATGTCATTTTGTGTCAGTAATATAATATTTAAAATAAGGCTTTTAAATAAAATGGTTACTGTGATGAGCATAACTTCTTACTTTAGTCTTCACTTTGGTCCTGAGTGGTTCCTGAGTTTGTCCCCATTAATTATTTTAGTCGTTCCGTGAAAAATCTCTATTAAATAAAGATCAAAATGACAAAAGAGCCTTAATTTTTTGTCAAATTATTTTGGTCCGTTGATAATTGCATTGAAAGTATTTTTTGTCATTTTACTCTTTATTTAACATAACTTTTCACGGAATGGCCAAAATGATTAATGGTAAACAACTCAATGATCAGTTCTATTGATTTTAAATCTCAATGACCAAGGTGAAGATTTATACTAATTTCAAAGATTATTTTGACTAAAAAGTCTAAAAATTAATTTGTAATCATAGATCACCGTATCATCAACATAAACGTCCAGCTAATATTGTATCACCAACATTAATTTGTAGTCATAGATCACCGTATCATTAACATAAAAATTAATTTATAATCATAGACCACCGATCAACATAAAAGTTGCTCAAAAATGCATCATTTGATTCAATTTTCAAGCCCAAATGCCAATGAATCAAAAATTTCTCACCAATCTACTGAAAACTTGTTAAGCTTCGATCTGCCCGCCATGAAAATTGAGAGCATCGAGATTTTGCTTTTGCCCAACTGCAATTAATTGAGCAAAATGCAAAGGTAAAGGCATTGAGTTGATTGGAGAGTTCGAGAGGTCGGTGTCCTAACGGCCCCTGCGATGGAATAACGGTTGCAATTTGCGTTACATGTCGTGCATGTGTGTTGTTATGTGTCCTTGTCCTCTGTCGATGTCTTTATATCTTTATGTGCTGTAAGGGTTAGGTGTCAACAGAAAAAGAAGCCTTGTAGTCCAACAAACAGAAGCCCAAGAAAGACATGGGTTTTTTTGTTTCTATCCAATTAGGCCCAAAATAATCTAAAAGCATATGAAAGTCCCTTATGAACAAGAGCATGTTACATGTTGATAAAATAGCTAAAAACAGTTTTAGAAAATAAAGAACGCCTTTAACAACGTTTGTCATAAGAAGTTGTGAGTGTTTATTTCAAATTGCTTTTTTGAAAAAGCATTTGAATTTTTAACCACAACAAGTGGGCCATCAGAGTGCTAACAACGGCTTTCTAAAGAAAAAAAGTGGGAGGTCCTACGTTCGATATTTTGTAAGCTGTGAATCTGCTTAATTGTGGTCACAGCTAGGGTGAAATTCCCAACTAGCCTCCTCTGGACGCCGAAGGGATTGATAATCGTGATTAGACATCAGTTGTCCTCCTTTTAATAAGAAAAATAAAGCATTTGAATTCTCATTAATTTTTTGGACATTTTTAATAGAAGCGCTTGTGAACAGAGGTGATGCTCAATATATAAAAGCACTTCTAAACAAGTATTAAGGGTTGGTTTGGGATTGTAGTGCTATGGAAAAAAAATAAATGTTGTCAATGAAAGTAGAAAAGCATAAGCATGGCCATGCTTCTAAAAAAATGTTTTTTTTTTTTTTCAAAGCATAGTAATCATTTAATGAAATTTTCAAATGACAAGCATACTTCCAGATGTTTTACAAAATTACAACCTTTGCCCTACATTATTTAATAAAGGGCAAAATTTCAAATGGCAAGCATACCTCCGAATGCATAGTTATCAATGGTCATTTAATGAAATTTTCAAATGACAAGCATACCCTCAGATGTTTAACAAAATTACAACCTTTGGCCTACATTATTGTCTTTGCCAATTATTATATCGCATTAAGTGCTAAATCATTTTTAGTCATTTAACATATTCAAAGCACTTGTACAAAAAAAAAAAAAAAACAAAGTTTATCAAACACTTAACAACTTTATTTTACAGTTATTTATTCTCACACCACAACATAAGTAGTTTTTCTTAAAAAGCACAACGATATCAAACTAGCTCTAAGTATTTTATATAATCTTAAGAATTGTTGACTAGGGCTTTAACCCTTTTTTAAATAGTTCAAAAGGAGGCATGATGAGTTAAACCGCAGATGCAAATATCCCATGATCCCATGAAGTTGGTATTCTGGGAGCTTTCAAACAACAATGCATTGTGTGTGAATTGACAATTAACGAATGAAAAAAAAAACACGGTTAGACACGCAATTTCAAGAAACAAATTTGAAAGTGGAAATCTTTCATCTTGAAAAGAAATTTTGTTTTTCTTCACATTTTTTCAACGGTCAATAAATCCCTTCAAACATGTAGTTTGAGTTATCTTATCTTCTAAAATATGTGGTTTGCGTTTTCGCTGCTTGGTGGCATTACTAGTTGGCACAACCATTTTAAAGTGTTTTAGTGTAGGTGAATGGAAACGTTTATGCAAGCCCGGCCCAGGTCCAATGTAGGCAGAACGACTGTCCGGGCTTAAAAAAATTAGGGGTATCAAAATTATTAGGGTGGTATATTTATATATGTTTTTATAAGAGTATAAATTTATAAAATTTGGTTTAGTGACAAAGAAATTTAACTAGAACCGGTGGTTTTGTTGTTTAAAATGAATAAGGAGGTCTTAGGTTCAAAACACTATGTGTACTTATTTGCATTCTAATTTTTACAAATTTATTTTCATAACAGTATAAAGTTATAAAATTTGGCTAAATGATCAAGAAGTTTAATTAGAAGCAATGATTTTTGTTGTTTAAAATTAACGAGAGGTCCTAAGTTCGAAATGATATGTGCATGTTTATTTTTTTCAATTTTTACAAATTTTTGTTTGGTTGTTAATTTATTTACTAGCTAGTAGCTATGTGGGTTGCTATTTTAAATATTCATTCTAATTCAAGTCTAATCTTCAATAAACAGTAATGTGTAAACTAAATTTTTAGACCAAATTTGCAAATAATATTACGTGTCATAAAAATGTTTAATTTAATGTTCATTCATTACTTATACACATCCTTAAAGACTCAAAAACATTAATATTTTTTTAGTCTTACATTGACAAGGTTAGTAAATAAGAAAAAATAACTCATGATTTATACAAAAACACTTTAAAAGTTCAGATGGAAAACAAAACTTATAATCTATCTACTTGAAAGTCCAAAGTTTTTTAGTTTCCTTCTCTTGATACAAAATAAATTAATTATTCCATGTTTCTAAATTATTGAGTTTGAAGTATTTTTCTAAATATAATTTTATCAATGTACTAAGTGTGAAAACAAATATTTTTTTTTATATGAAATGAGGGCACATTTTTTTACGTCACCCCGGACCTCAAAAATCTCTGAACTGACCCTGCGTTTATGTCACTAACTATAACACAAAATATCGACAGGATACGCAAAACTAACTCCTAGCAGTGAATGACTCTATATCGATACGAAAGAGGCCACCAACAAATCTAATTGTTTCACTCAATTAAACACAAAAACAATAATGAAAAGAAAATTCTAGTTGTGTTACGTTACAAATATAACTAAAATTTGAAGTTTAAACATGTCGGAGCCTACTCAGGATGGCCTACTCACATACTCTAAACATAAATATTAAGATCACAATCACTGATATCATCCCCCTACTTACAAGTTAATACATTGATAAAGTTTGGTAAGTATAGAAATCTGTTGAACAAAAATCGTACACAGTGACAATCCTAGCTTCAATCGTTAAAGATATAGCTTTCAATCAGACAGCCCTTTACATAATATCTTCATAATTATTTATTTTATATTGACTAATTTCGTCTTGCACTTTTAGCCAACTTAATGTATTGCAAATTTATATAATCTCTCTTTTTTTTTAAGATAAGAAACAACGAAGAAATATCATCTCAAACATAACGAAGAGGTCATACACATCAACAAATATATTCACAAGAAAAAATAGCAAATACTTGATGCATCCAATGACTTAAATAAAGAATTACAATAGCTTGGAACCACTCAAAGAACTTTGATAACTAAAACGATTTTAATTGTCGTTAATCGAACGGAAACTGAAAAGTCTGATTATATTGCATAGATTAAAACTATGTTTTGAAGACTGAAACGACACTGAATGACTAAAATTCATTGTATATCACAACAAAATTATGAGTTTGACCTGTAACGTCGTTCATTTTCTAAAAATGTATCATGAACCCAAATCGGCTTAAAGTAAAATAAAACCAACTTTAACTAATGAAACCCACTTTATAACCATTAACCAATTAGGCCGGGTAGGTCTGAAAGCGTCCCAAAACCCCCATTAACACGTCTTGGAGCTATTGTGGGCTCAAACCGCTAGATTAGTCGGCTCTCAACACTGAAGGCATCCTCCCCAAATCAACCCACCACCAAAAGCTTCCACCTTTAAACAAAAGACGATCACAAAACGATCCTATCTTTTGGCAGTCGAGCAATTTCAGAGAGATCAATGAAAGCAGCGTACGGTGGGGATGCCTCCCCACGCCGCCGGACGTGCAGAAACGTCTGCCTGGCGGCTACAGCTGCCGCCTTAGTCGCAACGATCGTACTCGTGATCCTCTGCCTGACGGTGTTCAAGGCAAAGAATCCCACAACGACGGTCAACTCCGCCGTTCTGAAGGACTTCGATGTGTCACTCAACATTCCACGTGTCAGCGTGGACGTGAACTTGACCCTGGGCGTGGATCTATCCGTGAAAAATCCGAATAAAGTCGGGTTCAAGTACAAAAACAGCACCGCTTCTTTGAACTACCGGGGGATCCAGGTGGGCGAGGCCCAAATCGGATCGGGCGAGATATCCGCGGACCAGACGAAGCCCATGAACGTGACGCTGACCATCATGGCGGATCGGCTGCTGGGGGAATCATCGGAGCTCTTTTCGGACGTGCGGGCCGGAACGCTGCCGTTGAATACTTTTACCAAAATCTCCGGGAAAGTCATCGTTTTGGGGATCTTTAAGATTCATGTCGTTTCCACCTCCTCCTGCGACTTCAGTATCGATGTCGGTAACCGCACTGTTGGAGAGCAACGCTGCACACACAAGACGAAGTTATGATTTTTTATTTGTTTTGCTTGCCGTATCGGATGTTCTTATTTACTGGAATTTTTACGGTTGTCTGCTTGTGCGAGCTTAATTTACAGATTTGCCCCTCACCGGTTGCTGCTACACCTATATTTTAGTGCACTTTATAGTATGATTATGAATCTATTCATAGATTTTGGTACTAGGCTAAATGATATTTACTGATTCCCGAATAAAATGGATTATTTCAATATCTTCCAAGAAATATTAGGATAAGTCGTGCACGCGAGTGAGTTAACTCTAACTATTCATGTTTGTGGAGCTTACAAAATTCGTTCGAGCTATTCATGTTTGTAGATTTATAAAGTATGAACAGGTATACATGGTCAGGATCAACCTTGTTCGATTTGAGACTCAGCCTTGCAATCTTTGCCATTCCTTTAATTTCTTCATGCTAAACCAAGTCCATTAAAGAATGAAACAATTTGCTCAAAAATTGCTCATAAGAGTTGTGACCAGATTTGCTTAAGTCTTCAACTTTACTTCCGTTGGATTCATACTCTTTTAACATAAATTTTAAAAGGACCAAACATATCTTTATAAAATGAGATAATTATATGTGCTGACCTTAAATTATAAAAGCTTACATGGTACGCAAGCCGATTAACTATGAGTTAATTACGTTCTTCTTGTGAATGTGGGCGTGTCAACTTGCAACCGAGCTTGGTTGGGCAAGTAGAATAGATGTGGTGATGTTGGTATTGTCAAATGTGTTGCTGACTTTTGCACTTGAGTGACTACAGTCGGGGGGAGGAACACCTCTCAGCCTAGGGTTCTAGAACCTGAAGACTAGGTTGCTAGATATTGCAAAGTTTAATAAACTGTTCGGGTTTCAATGTGTTGCACATGAAATAACCTAATAACACCTCACTTAGCTGGGAAAACAATTAATGAAGTGACATTTTTTGGCAAAAAAATGAAAACTCTTCGTCCGCCGAAACTTGGATAGATAACCAACTAAAACAAAAACAGTGATGTTACTCCAAACTGAAGATGTTTCTCGATCGCTTGATTTTAGGTTCCAGTGTTAATTCAAACCAAAGATGTCTCCGGTTGTTAACACATTGTTGTTAATCCAAACTGAATGTTGATGAGAAGGTTAGGAGATGAGAAGGTTAGGATCGTTAGTATTTTTCTCAGTGGTGTGAAACGGGTTTCGCGTAGAGCATTTTAGTTGTTTGTTGAGTTGAAGGGGCTCTCTACGTTGCTAACCCTCTTGTATTTATAGGGATGAATTTCGTGATGGCCAAATCTACCGAATGATATAATTTTGATAATATTTCAATTCTTCAACATATTCTTTGGAAATACTTAGAATTATTCTCAGCTAAAATTCTACCGCCGTCAAGTCACGCCGTCTTTGACTAGGATTCTGAACTTAAATTAATTATGCGATTGATTCAATTTTTATTCAAAAATCAATCATGATTTTTATTATTTCTTTCATCCAACATCTTAAAGTATATGGGCCAAGTGCGTGCAAAATCGGATCCAAACAATATGTAAGCGCAATCCTACATGACACGAAGTTGTGAACTTTGATAGCAAGTTCAGAAATTCTTTACCCTGCTGCATTGACACATCGAGCAGCACGATATTTACCCGTCTCTTCAATAATGCCTTCAAGCTCGATCGGCTTGAAATTGTTTAAGCACGCCCAGCGTTTCCACTCGTTTTTTAACACGTCAGTGTGGTTCCTTGCTCAAAACCTTGGCCCCAAAACCTTGCCCAACGGATTCATTCTTGCCCTACCACATTGTTCCGTCTCCTAAAAATTTTCAGTAAACCCTAAATGTTGACCATCGTCCTACAAACTGGCTGTTTCGTCGAGTAAATGTTTGTTAACCGACAAATTTGTTTTCATAGGGCAAGGTTTCGTAAGGCAACCCCTATTTTCTAGTAGCAAATCAAATGCCACCCTTTTTGTTTTTGTTCAAATCCAATGCCACCCCTTCATTTTTTTTCTTTGTTCAAATCCACTAGTCCTACATCTCTACTACTTGAAATGTATAATGGTGGCCGATTCTTTGTTACCTATTCTGCAAAGTTATGTGTATTTGGTCTATGTTCATATTGCTAGACATCCATGCTACCATTTCTTTTCTGGGGTGAAATACATATAAGCATGCCGAATCCAAGATATGGTGGGATTGAAAAATTAATGATAGAGGGAGAGGTTGGGCATGCCTAAATTAAGGAAGACATGCGAGCCAAATGAGAGAAAAGTATATAAAGAAAAAGGTTGAAACCAGCAAGTAAACCAAAGTCGCTCTGAAAATATAGCAAGAACAAGAATAAAGTATGGAGTTGAAGCTATCCAAGCTAAAAACGATGCTGAAACAAAAGCCGTTACTGGCAGCTGCCCTGGCAGTGCACGGGGTTCTTCTGGCCATATTTTTTATAATGCTGATCCTAGGCCTTACGAAGTACAGGCCAAAGGACCCCATAACCCGAGTGGATGCAGTGGTCTTAAGAAACCTAGACATTTCTCACCAGGCGCCTAAACTCATCACTGTGGATATGTCTCTCTCCATCAAGAACCAGAACAAGGTGGTCTTCAAGCCCACCAAGGGCACTGCAGTCTTGTTCTACAAGGGCGTGAACGTTGGTGAGGCAGCTATAGAGATAGGAAATATGGCGCCGGGAGCCACCATAAACACGAATGTTACATTCACCCCTTTGGCTGATCATTTTCAAAGAAACCCCGAGGTTAGTTTTGATCTGTTGGCGGGCAGGATGCCCTTCAACACTTTCACCAAAGTCCCCGGAAAAGTGAAGGTTTTTGGAATGGCTAAGGTTGGTGTGATCTCCACCAGGCTGTGCGGTTTTGAAATCGATATCCGAAGCAAGACTATTGGGGACCATAGGTGCGCATAGCACACATAAAAAGCTACAATTCTTTTTTATTGTTCTCATGGGTTAAGAAAATGTGTTTAGTGTTCTAATTTGTTCTTTTTCTTCAAATTTGATAGAGAAATAATTGTAGTTTTCAGCTCTTCTCATTAAATAAGATTATAAGATCTAGAAATTATTACATCAAACACAACTTTTGCGCTTCTTTCTTATTGTATCTTTAAAAGTTCTTTTAAGCATATGAAATATGTTTTTTGGAAAGATCACTTTAAACAATGTTAAGTGACGGACACACTGTCCTAACCAACTGGCATAATCCACATATATGCTACAACAATGTGATTTAAGCATGCTGCATTATTCAAGCTACAGTTATAGTTGAACGATTTGATAACAATTAGCGAGAAAGGTTATGCAAAGTTTAGGAAGACATGCAAGGCAAATGAGAGAAATTTAAGCATTTAAATTAAGCTGTCTTCTTCAAGATGAGTCTCCAACTAAAAGATGTTCAACGTATAGTATGTAAGAAGTGATTAAAAAACAAAATGGTCCGACTCATATACAACGCCCCGGCAGTGGGCTTAGTTCTTGTTCTAATATCAGCTACAGTGCTGATCTTTTCATGACAGTGTACATGGAAACACCCCTTAACCATGGTGGACTCTGTGGCTTAAGACATCTCGACATGTCGCATTATAACATTTCCAAGTTAGTCTCGATGTGAATCTATCCTTCATCAACCATAAGTTAACAATGTGGCCTTCAAGTACGCCAACACCACGTCATTGTTGGTGTACAAGAGCGTAGTGGTGGGAGAGGCTCATATAGAGGGAGGAAGGTGTCGAGGGGTGTGAACAAATCCATGAAACATCTAAGCGAACTATAGTTCGTTCAGATGTGTTGGATGCACTAGTACAAAAACATGTTTGCGCAACAGAGCAAATTTGGTCGCGCAAAGTATGTTTGCGCGATGCTAAACAGGAGACGTCGCGCAAACGTCCTTTGTGCAACGGAACTTTGCGCGACGCCAACAAAGTTCCGTTGCACAAAGGCCATTTATGTGACGCCTCATGTGCGTTGTGCAAGATTTTGGCGCCAAACCAAGAATGTTTACTTTTTTTTCCCAACATTGCACGACGAAGATTGGCATAGTGCAAAGCTGTTTTGCCGTTTTGCGCAATGGAGGTGCACTTACGTCGTGCAAAACAGCTTTGCACAACACCAGTCTTCGTCGCGCAAAGTCAACGACTTTTTTCCCATCACTTAATCAGTTTGGGAGGCAGAAACTGCAAACCAATTCTTTTCATAATGTACTGTAATTTGTCTATAGGGGAATTGTTAAGCTGAAATTATGATTTAATGCAGTTTTTAAATTGAAATGTTGTGAATTTTATTGAGATCCATTTAATATTTACATTCACGTAAACCAGCCTTTCTCTTCTTTTTATTAAAGAAAACAAAATAATAACAAACATTATCAAGATTCAAGGTGCTAATTAAACCATCAATTTTCTCAAGAAAAAATGACCAAATAAAAAAAAAATTGATACTAAATTGTTTCACATGAAATACAAATGTTGAAATAATTGAAGGGAAGCGTCCCAATTTGCATCTACCACCAGATCATGGCTCATAAGGAAAATAGAGATAATAAAAGGAAGAGGTATGTTATCCACACATCTCATTTTACTTCTCACACATCCTTTGATAATTTTTGTTCGTTGATCTTCTTTAATTCATCCAATCCGATGGCCGAAATTAAAAAGGTGTGTGAGAAGTAAAATGAAGTATGTGGATATCACACCCCTAAAAGAAAAAATCAGTTTTGAGTTATGGAATAAAAAGAGTTAAACAGTTCCAACCAAGCAAAACAGTTCCAAATAACGAAGGCAATCAAGGTGGTATTTACCTTGTAGATGTACCTGGAATTGTCAAAAAAACAATATTAGGTCGCTTAAGCGGGCATTACATTGGGGTCTGCTGCTCAAGCGGAAAGTAGTACGTCTTATGTCGCTCAAGGGGCCATGTAATCCACTCAACCGGAAAGTAGTATGTATTTTATTTATTTATTTTAAATATAAGTTGTGCAACGTGACAATGGGGTCATTGTGCAAACATACTTTGTACGACGCACCAACCAAGGAGTTACGCAAAGATTGTTTGCGTGACGCATCACCCAATGCATCACACAAAGTGTCTTTCCGCGACGTAGAACTTGAGTGGCGCAAAACCACTTTGCACGACGTAGGTTACTTCTTCGTCGCGCAAACCCTATTGTCACTACCTTGGCACGACGGTTGGTACGCAACGAAGGTTCGCTGGGATAATTTTTGCGCAATGTTTTTTGACTTTGCGCAACGAATACGTCGTGCAAAGTATTTTTTGTACTAGTGCTGGTACCTTGCCCTTCAACATGTACATCAAAATATGTGGCAGATTAAAACCTTTGCTCATCAAATTGTTCAAGTTTCATATGGATGTGGTCTCCACCGGCTCCTGCAATTTTAACATCAATGTTTACCTAAATGTATAATCTTCGAGTTTCTTAATATTTGTTCCTCTTGGAAAGATTCTGAATATATTTTCACATAGGTCTTGTGTCTTTGCTGCGTTATACAAGTTACAAGGAAAACATAATTCCAACACATAAGACAAAACAAAGAGTGGAAGCATGTCGCATTCCAACCAACACCGCAAGTAACACTAAACTTGTGTCAAGCGTTGTTTTTCACACTCCAACAAAATTCATTAGATTGGTTCAATTTGGTTTTTTTTTTTTTTTTTTTTTTTTTTTTAATTTTTTATTTATTTATCAAACAATATTATCTACACTAAGGGCTGGGGCTTAGCCTCACAATGAGCTAATAATAATGTGATTCAAATTTACCTTTAGCGAGAATCGAACCTAAAATCTCTCACTTACAAGTGAAGAGGAATACTACTAGACCATAATACTAAGTGACTTATGAATTGTGGTAGGTTTGATGCACATCAGATGGCAAAGTAGATCGACGATCAGATTGAAAGGCTTCAACTTGTCAGCAAAGTTTTGTAAATTTGGACTCTAGTGTCCGATTTGGTTACATGACATGTTGTTTCGAAGAGAACCGTGTCGTCATGAGTAAGACTCAGTACTTTTCCCTAACACAGACATTTTTTGCCGAGTTATATTGTTTCTAGCTAAAAACAATATTTTAAGTTTTGTGGATATTTTCTTTTAAAATAAATAAATAACTTTGAGAATATCACATTTATCGTTCATAATTTTTAATAAACAATTTTGAGATTTTCATAAATTTTCTGATGGATTCTTGTTCTATATGCTTTAAAAACGTCGTCTGATTTTCTTCGCTTTGTCACGCTACGCAAAAATCATCCATTTGGTAGAGATGGCCACATTGTGTGATAACATAAATGATTTGATATCAATTGTTAAGATTCTATCAACTCAAATTGTCCCTACAAACGACCTTTTAAAAATAATGTTAAAGACTTTAAACCATCCTAATATATGCTATTTTTCGAACATGGGATATATATAGATGTCTAAATTGCTTAGGTGGACTTTGTTACAAAATTGCACACTCTCCCCCCAAAAGTCCTCATTGCTTACTTAGTTACGTGAACTCTATACATATTATGTAATGTGAACCAATGTATGACATGCACTTGTCGTTTTTTCATATCAAATAAGATCGTGTGAAGTTTTCACTTCTTTGCATTGCATTGCTCACAATCTTTACCCTTGTCTTTGAAATCGCCTTAAAATTCTTTAAGATATGCAATATATGCTGCTGTTATAACCAATAACAGTTAGATTTCAGAAATTTAATAACAAATTAAGAGGCATTGCATGCACTATTTAAGGAAAACATGCGAAGCCTTTGAGATAAATTGAAGGGGCTTAACAAAATTGCAGAACAGAAAATTTGGTTTGTTGATGCAGATGTTGATTAGCTGGTTAGGTATGTTGGTCATAGACCTGCAACCAAAAACTTGGTTTGTCGACAAGATAGCGGTTAAGCATGTTGGTCAAGACAAAGCACTATGTTCTCATTTTCATCTTAATATGAATCTCTATCTCCGTAAATTTAAAAAATTGATAAGCCATTACATATGTTAGTCAAGATATAATTGTGCTTGCTCCGAGATCGAATTCTTCTTCCCATAAATTAAAGATGGGTGGTGCTATTCACATACTCATTTTTACTTTTCACACACCTCTTATTAATTTTTATCCTTTGATCTTCTCCAATCTATTTGATCCGACAACAGAAAGTAAGAGGTGTGTGGAAGTTTAAAGGGTTTGTGGATTGCAGACCCATTAAAGATATGATAAAAGTAAAACATAAGTTGCATGGGGAAATGTCACTTAGTACTACAGTTTAGTGATATTACTCTTCATTTGTAAGTGAGAAGTCTTATGTTCGATTTTTCACATTATTACTAGCTTATTGTGAGGGTACACTCAAGGTGGTTTGTTAAAAATAAATAAAAGTTTGTGTGGGAAAGCATTTAAAAGAGGGTGGCCTCAGGGAAGCTCAAGGTAGTTGTTAGATATACAATCAAATTGTGTTAGCTGGCCGTTGGATTCGAGCATTAAACCAAGTCACTATCCCCAACTACCTTGAAACCCTAAATACTCCTCTCTATAAGTCACTCTCTCCCACTCTTACCGTTTCCTGATCTCTCTAGCTCTCTCTCCCTTTTAAAAAATGTCGAGCACCATGACAGAAAATAGCAACCACAACAAACCCAACAAGCGAAAACGCATATGTCTCATTACCATTGGTGTTATCCTGTTCTTGAACTTTCTACTCTTCCTCATCGCCCTGATTCTTGCCCTAACAGTTTTCAAGTCCAAACAGCCGAAAACTGAAATCCTCTCTGCCTCCGTGGATGGCGTGGCTCCTCGCGTCACCTTCCCCGCTGTCCGGATCGAACTCAACATCACCGTCGACCTCATGATCAACGTCCAGAACCGAAACTACGCAAGCTTCAAGCACGGCGCGGGAAAGACTTTGCTTCTTTACCAAGGTACACAGGTCGGGGACGCGGATTTGTACCCGGGTAACGTTCCAGCGAGGGGCAACGCCACGCTGCCCTGCCGGCTTACTTTGCAGGTGGACCGGGTGGCGAACGACCTGAGCAAATTGATCAGTGATGTGCTGGGGGGTGAGATTATGCTCCAAACGAAAACCCGGATTCCGGGTAGGATTACGTTCTTGGGGTTCATCAAGAAGCATGCTGTCGCTCTATCGGCGTGCCAGTTGACGATTGGGTTTCCGAACATGAAGGTGAAAAGACAGGATTGCAAGATCAAGGCCAAGTTGTGATAGATAACTTGTGAGTTGTGTGAATTTTTATTTCTTGGTTCTGCTTCTGAATGATTCATGAGAAGGTGCAGATTGTAGCAAAATCACGGAGAGAATAGCATGTAAATGTTTAGAGTTTTGATTAGGAGTTAATTGGGAGTGATTAGTATAGGATTATCTACATTTTTTAGAAGTTTTTCCCTTAATCATAGATTTTGATGTATGAAAACAGAATAAACCATATGGAAATTCGTATTTTGTTATATTATATTTCTAATTTAGGCTTTTATGTCGTAAAAAATAAATGTGATACTAATATATTGAATTCATATAGAAATCACGTTCTTTCAATTGATTAAAAAATTTGAGTATGATACCAATTTACTGAACTCATGTTTTCAATATATTAAATTCATAACTTCAATAACTCATTAATGTGATAACATGGAATGAGGTAGCGACTTCACGGGTATAAACTGGTTTGCTGCATGCACAATCTGCTCTGCCGGAAAGCATAAAAGCTACCCACCGACAGATTTTTCTATGTTGGGAATATGAGTCGATACTCTCAGCGATGATTAGATACTTGAGAAACAAAAAAAAAAAAAAAAAACAGAAATGGAACCGGTTATCCAAGGTGGTGGTGGTCTCCACGTCGTCATATGCTATAATTTGCCCACATGACGTCGCTTATTGATTTAGAATACCACTACCTTGACATCTCTGTCGACATTGGATTTGAGATGAAGATATTGATTTTAACCCAAATCCTTCGTAACAATCACTTCTAATCATTCAAGTAACAGATTTTATTAATGCTGATAAAATTCTCCAAGATTTCCTCGGAAAGTAAACAGAAAAGAAAACACAAACTCAGATCTGTTTCATTCGAAAGAACATTCATTTTTTAGCAGAGATTCGAAAAATAACAGCTGTGCTTTCTTTTGAGGAGAACCACCAGATTTATAATTTCAAGTGAAAGCGGTGTCTCATAGAGGTTTGTTTCTATTCACATGAACTCAAATGCTGCAAACGAGAATCACAATTTGAGCCATGGGGAACAAATTTTTCATGATCTGTGTTACACTGGCCCCATGTAAAAGAATTCAAATCCTCTTCAAATCTTTGTGTCCAGAGCCGGCAGATCCTCGGAGTCGGACCACTCATTTTAAATCCTATAGCCCCTATTAGCCTATCCTGTTGGCCCATCTCACACAAACCAAAAGTCTGGATCTTTATCTCCCTCCTTTGAACGGCCCGGATCTTGAGGTCCGCTTTCTCCAGACTTCAAGATCCGGAGAGGATCTAAATTCCATGTAAAAAGGCCATTTTATCATACTCCTCCATTTCACCCCTCCTGTTTTCTCCTTCTACGCTTCTCCCTTTGTTTATGTCCCTCAATTCTCCGTTGGTTTATTTAATCCAAAGGCTAGAAAGAAACAAAGGAGAGTGTGCAAGGGTGAAAAGGGGGTGCGACAATCAATTCTCCATGCGAAAATATACAGAGTAGCCTTGTTTATAGTTGGCATCCTTGATATATAACAAACAACTACCTGTTTCAGACTTCTATAAACTAAAATTACCAAGAAGAAAACATCTTCATTCAATCAGTTTCACCAATTCTTATCATCCAACAACATTCAACGAAGTGCAAAATACACAGAAACATTCCCAATCATCAAATTATATAGCTCCAAATCGTAAAGTGCAGAGAGTTCGCGCATAGGGAAATTCGATAAAATAGCCATTGAACATGAATAAGTTCAGTACCTGATCAATGAGGTTGGAAGAATTTACTATTTCATTTCTTCCCTGTGTCTAAAATTCTGATTAAAACCAAAAGAGCACTAGCCGATGCTAACTTAAATTCAAAAAACGATGTCCTTCCCTGTGTCTAAAAGCATAAATAATGTCAACAACTACTATACAATGCTAGCGCTACTGTGTCTAATCTAGGTCACCAGTTGGAAAGAAGTACCGGAATTCTGGCAAATTCACCGCACATAACCCACATGAGTCAACTAGAATTAGAACGCGAGCTTTCTGATTAACCCCACATCAATGTTCCTTGACTTCCCTGATGGCCTCAGGGGAGCACCAGGACAAGAATCAGCTGCTCCAGTTTGAAGTGGTTCTGGAGGAGGTGTTGCACAGTCATCAGAACCGCAATCTTTCCTCAAGCGTTCAGCAATAACTCCCTCAGTTTGCTCAGACACGATGGTTTCCAATAGGTTTTCATACACAACTTCAAACATTTCTTCGTCCGAAATGGATTCCACATCAGTCCAAACCTCATCTTCCGAAGTTTGAACGGGAGAATCAAAGTTAAGCTGACAAGCAATCATGCCCCCGCACTTGCTGACATAATTTTTGCACTGCGGCGCCTTCACTAGGTCTTCCCGACCAGGGGCAAAGGGATCGAAGACATCCTCCACCGGTGTCCTGGGGCTGCTATCATCAGAACAACCAAATGGGTTGTCCCCATTTTGGATGGCATTCGAATCCAAGCAAGTTACATTGGATGACTTCTTGCAAACTGATGGCGGAGATTTCAGATCAACGAGCAAGTCCCCGTTCTCTCGGACTGCATTAGGAGTAACAGGCCCTAGAGACGCCACCCCATTAGCAATCAATTCCACCGGTGGTGCCCCAGCGTCCTTATGAAGCCCCAAAACACTAGCTTTATCAGATTCTTCCAAAGATTTTGAAGGCTGCAGTTTGCATTCCTCCAGTCCATTGGTACAACCTCCAGAACCCATTAATTCAAACAAAGGGTAGCAGCTGAAATGGAAAATTAACAATTAAAAATAGAATTTGGCAGCAAAATTCAGATAAACCCCACGTTAAAGAATCGAACTTTGCATTAAAAACTGGTATAAAAAAAATAACAGAAATTAACAAAGTAATGGGTTGCAGAGAAGAAATTAAAGATAAAAATCTGCAAAGATAAACCATATTGCTCTGAACATGATATGCAATAAAAATAATCTCACATGATAATTAAAGATTAGAACTTTGAATTAAATTCCTAATAAAAACTCAAGATTTCAATTTTCCCAGCCAAAAGGGAACAGGGCAATCCTGATTTCAAGAAACTAAAACCTCTAAAACAACAGAAACTCTGAATGAAAATAAACAAAACGAATAAAAACCCAAAACAGTGGCCAAGCAAGACTCGCCGAGTTTCCAGTTCAGAACCAAAACGAGTAAAAGTAGAGAGAGAAAGTTGGAGTTACCAGAGAGAGGGAGAGAGCAGAGAGTTGGAGAACAGCAGAAGCAGAAGAGATAGTGTTCTGTGAAATGAGCAACTGAGTCAGCGGCGTCGTTTGTGTTTCGAGTCATGGGGTTTGGTTCTTCCAGTTTTACATGGATCTGAGTAGCTCGACTCGTTCTTCTTATATACATGCATCGGATTGCGGGCCCACTTTCCGCGCAACTCACTCCCCCCATATTTTTGGCGGTTTGCAAAACTCACTCCTTGAACATTCTTTATTTGCCTAATTATAAAATTAAAATTAAATCCTCCTAAAAAAAAACATAAAAATAAACATTTTTTTTCATTTTTTTCTTGTTTATCTGAGACGATGTTATGATACGATCGTCATGTAAAAACGTAAAATGTTATAGCTTATAATAATTTATGTTTATGATTTTAAATACACATCATTTATCATCAATTTCTTTTCTTTCTTTTTTTTTATCATCAATTTCTTATGATTAGAGGATAAGTTTGAATATTAAACCCCGTTTTGGAAAGAAAACCAATGTGGTGGGAAATATATTTTGGAGGGAAACATACAAGGAAAATATATTTTAGAGGGAAAAATAAGGTGGGAAACTGTTTTGGAGGTAAAAATATGGCGCGAAAATATACTTAGTAATAATATTATGGTGCGAATGAATATACGGTAATAGAATTAAAGTGAAAACAAAAAATATGGCGCCAAAGAATGCGTGGTGGTTTAGAAATTATTAGAAAGATAATTAGGAAAAAAGACAAAACTTTACCATATATGAACGCTCTTTCCTTGATTGATTAATTCCTCAAACTTATCTTGTGGAATAAGGAAATGCTTATTAGTTGGTGCTCACTTGTTAATCTTACCGATTCAAGCGATAACACCATCCTTATTCAGTGACTTGGGCCCTTACTGCTCATGACCCAAGTACATAAACAGTAAGGCCCATTTAGGAAGAGAATCTAAGGTGATGACCCATGTACATAAAAGAATAAGGTGATACTTTCTACTTAAGAAGTTGAGGCACCTCTATAAAACTAATCGATAATATGAAAAGACCAACTAAATTATAAGACATGTAAGGTCCATTTTTCTCTGTTGTGAGATTCACTCTCAACACGTCTCTCATGTGTGGCGAATTTTTAAATTTAACACGTGAACAACACAAACCAGGTGACATGGAACACGTGTGACTGTTGAGCTTCATACATGAAACAATTTACTCATACACCATGAAGAAATTGAGATTCCATCAGTAAACCAATTAGGAACCTTGAGTTGAATAAATTGAAGATAATCAAATAATAAAAACTAACAAATAGTGTATAAAAAGTAAAACAAAGGGTATGAATAACAAAAGAACATTGGTTAAGTATGACTGGTCAACTTTGAATTGCGACAGAAATAAATGGCAGAGCGTGTGAGGTACGCGGGAAATAAATGGTCAGAGCGACAGAAATAAATGGCCATATCTTTCATTAATGTGCACCATGTGGCCCATCAGTTTCATTAATGTGCGCCATGTGGCCCATCTATTCAACTAGTTTGGTTGTCCACTATATTTCTTTGAGAAATGCGAGTAACATTTTTTAACACTCGAATTTTTTTTTTTTTTTCTAGAATTTTTTTTTTCTTTTTTAACTTTGCAATGCTACACCAAGATTTGAATTTTTTTTTTTTTTTTTTTTAACTTTGGCGGTACACAAAATTTTATTGATGTGAAAAAAAAAATGTTACTTTAACAAAAGAAAGAAGATGTTACATCTAGTTAGAGAGACAAACTTTATTCCTCTTAGGACTGATAAAAATACTTTATTTATTAGATTGTTATCTAAAGATTGATTGTGTTAAAATTCAAATAAATTTATAATTGTTTTGTCGTCCACAATTATTTAGTAAATAAAATAGATAAACTATGTTATTCAATTAAATAAGAAGATTTTGACAATTTTAATTGAACAGTTAAAAGTTTTTTTATTTGCTTATTTATTTAAAGTGTAAACTAAAAAGTAAACAATTTCAATCATTGTGAAACATAATAAAATGAAAATAAAAAAATCTAACTGAGAAAGTCGATTTAAATACTCAAATTTTCATATTCAAAACGAGTTTTCAAGAAACCGATCGATTTTCTTTTCATTTTAAAATTTTATTGGTAGTCGACTGCCAACTTTTACTTTTTCTTTGGGTCAACGACGACCGACTTTTAGCCGGATAATTTGTTACGCAGCAACGGAAAATTCATCTTGTAATAGTACAAATTTATAAAAGTCCAAACAAACACACCAACTAAAATAACCCGAAAATTCATAACAAAGACTTCCCAAAACGACCGCCAAATGCTCACCATCCCTCTATAATAATAAAGCACCACTTATTCGTCCCACCACCATACCAAACTTCTCTTGTACATTTTGTTCTCTGCATCCTCTTCGTCGCCGTCGTCGGAGTTGTCGTCATCATCGTAGTTATCTACCGATTACTACATAATTAGTTAATTACTCAGTTAAATATGGCCTCTACAGTTTCAGGGACTGGCGCTCCTTCGTTAAAACGGCCTTCGCCGTCGTTTCGCCTCCGCTGTACTAGTCTCAACTCTGTCCGGCTCCGCCGCATCTTCGATATGTACGACAAGAACAAGGACGGCTTCATCAGCGTCCACGAGATTAGCCAAGCCCTAGCCCTTCTCGGGTTGGAAACTGAAATCTCCGACCTCCATTCCACTATAAAATCCTTCATCCGACCCTCAAACGACGGCCTCAACTTCGACGACTTCGTCTCTCTCCACCAATCCCTCTATGACACCTATTTCGACAATAACAACGGCGATGAAGAGGCTGTCGCTGCCGCTGCTGAGGCAGCATCAACAGATGCATGCGACAAGGAGACTAAGTTGTCGCAGGAGGAGTCTGATCTTTCGGAGGCGTTCAAGGTGTTTGATGAGGACGGCGACGGGTACATATCGGCTAAAGAGTTGCAGGTCGTGCTTGCCAAGCTCGGATTCCAGGAAAGCAACGAGATCGATAGAGTTGAGAAGATGATCACCTCCGTTGACCAGAACCACGACGGCCTCGTTGACTTGTTTGAGTTTAAGAACATGATGCGCACTACTGTTCTTGTTCCCAGCTCTTGAAAGTTCTTAATCAAATCGATATTTGATATGCAACATGCATTTGCTTGTGATATATATCAATTAATAAGTACTCCTCTTTGATTTTTGTAGTTAGTAATTAAGGTGTATCCTAATTGGTGTTATTATTGGCTATTGTGCTCAATCTCCACTTATAGCGTATATTTTGAGTGCAATGAAAAATCTCTCATATATGTACACGCATGATGATTTTTAAGGAGGATGCTAGCTCTAGTTTTCGTTTGTTTTTTTCCTTTAAGTTTTTTTTATGTTATCCATAAATTCGACGCAAGTTAGATCAATTAATATATCTAGAAAAAATAGCTCCTAATTATTTAACATATTAAATAGATAGTTTTTAAGGGTCATATAGTGAAATTCTGAGCTGGTGAGTTTGCTTGATTATGGTCACAGGCAGAGTGAAAGTCTTTAAGCTTCTCTTGTCCTGGAAGGGGTGGATAACTGTGACTTGCCATCAATTACTCCCTTTTTTGCAAAAAGAAAAAAAAAGGTCATATAGTGAAATACACATGCCTTATGAAGAGTGAAATGTTGGAAGAGAAAAGCAGTATTTTTCTTTCCCCCTTTCAACAAATCCAAGAGGCTATTGCATGTAGATGTTTTCTTGGAGTTCACCATTGAGAAAAGCAGTATTTACATCCATTTGATGCAACTCTAAATCAAACTATGCAACAAGTGCCATTATTATTCTCATAGAGTCCTTGGAAGAAACGGGTGATAAAGTGTGATTGTAGTCGACTCCCTCTCTTTGAGTGAAATCCTTAGCAACCAATCTAGCTTTGTAACTTTCAATTTTACCTTGAGCATCTCTTTTGGTCTTATAAACCCATTTGCATCCTATAGTTTTGATTTGAGGATTAGAAGCCACTAATGTCCATACTTTATTCTGTGACATCGATTCTAATTCCTCCTTCATTGCAATGTTCCATAATGTTTGTTGATGGTTGTTCATGGCTTGAGAATGGGTGAGAGGGTCATCTATATCACCAAATTCAAATTCACTTTCCTGCAAGTACACATAGGCATTTGACACGGTGGTCTTCTTGATCCTTCTTGATCCTTGTGGCTGTATTTGAGACCTAAAATCGGCTTCCATTCTGTCTATATTAGGATGAATTTCCATTTGATCTCCCCCCAACTCAATTGCAAATGAAGGAGTTATCAAAATCTTCTTATAAGCATTACAACAAGAAGGATTCTCAATTTGATCAAGTTCTTCAAAAAGGATTCTGCCTTGTGATAAATTTGCCATATCTTGATCTTCAAAGAACTTGGCATTGTGAGTCTTTTGAATCCTGGTGTGAGCTTGAGGACAATAAAACTTGAAGCCTTTAGATTTCTCTGAGTAGCCAATGAAGTAGCATGATTTAGTCCTTGAATCCAGTTTCTTCTCATTTGGATTATAAATTCGAGCCTCAACGTTACATCGCCAAACATGGAAGTGATCAAAACTAGGCTTTCTACCAGTCCAAATTTCGAAAGGTGTAGATGAAACTGCTTTGCTTGAGACTCTATTCAGTATATAAGTTGATGCCTTTAGTGCTTCTCCCCATAGAAATCCTAGTAACTTTGATCTTGTCATCATACTCCTTATCATTCCAATCAAAGTTCTATTCCTCCTCTCTGAAACAGAGTGTCCATAGGATGAATTGAATGACTTCTTCCCCTTGTCTGGTTGCACAAAATTCACCATTTCAGCATCCTTTCCTCTTTCTTGTTTTTGTCTAGTCTCTTGTTGAACACATTGTGCTATTAAGTCATCGACATCCCAGTTCTTGTCTTGAGTATTATAAGACACCTTTAACTGACTGTATTTGCTTGGTAGAGTTTGAAGGATCATAAATACCAGTTGTTTCTCTCCAATGTTAACATCTAGAGAATTCAAATTCTCAGCTGCATCACTCATTTTCATGATGTGGTCTCGGATGGAACCCTTGCCTTCAATCTTGTATATGGTAAGCATTGCCATGTATTGACTAATTTCTGCCTTTTGAGATTCTTTGAACTTCCTCTCAATTGCATCCAAATAGTCAACAACCAATTCATGCTTTTTGATACCCCCTCGAACAATTCTGTCATGGCACTTTCAAGTATGGAAAGTGCCACCTTGTTAGCTCTAACCCATCTTCCTACATCAGCTTTCTCAGCTCGGGTGCTTTGATCAGTCCAAACTGGATTGGGAGTGTCAAGAGCTATGTCGAATTCATTAAGTGTCAACAAAAAACCAATCTCTCGTCTCCACTTCTTGTAGTTGCTTCCCCCGGTGAGAATAGGTATATTGGCCAAGTTCATAGTCCTTAATGATATTGCAGATGCTGCAGCAGTTCATGAAATCACAAATATGAACTAATTATTTCCAGATTTCATTCCAACATCCTTTTGCACATCATGACTATAATCATAGACTCATACATATAGTCTTAATCAACAATTTGTTGATAAGCATATATACAATAAATGATATACTTAGAACTTGATCAACACGCTACAACAGTCATGTATCCTTTAACATTGATTGAAAATAGTGGTGTCTCATACATGTAATAGATTCAAAATAATCGAAGTTAAATAAAAAAAATCCTAAATTTGCTTTCAAAATAGACAGTTTTACCATGTTTCTTATCAATTCTTATCAGTAATTTATTAACACAATTTGCAGCAAATCATATTTATACATACTCAAACACACACAGGTATTTCAGAAGCAATAAACACAAACACACCTTTCAATTACTGATTTCACATTCTCGAGGATAATAGCGGAAGCGGATTTAGAATTTGAAAACACAAGGTTCTTACACTAATCACGAATAAATGAAGGGTAATGCTATGGCGACTAACTTTGTAGATAAAATTTTATAAACTAAATGATATGAAAGTTAATAATTGAATTATTACTTAAGCATTAATAAACATGATCATTTCTTATTGGCGACACATAATTTAGTTTGCAAATTTAACATACAAATTTAGTCTACTTATTAGCAATTACCCAAATATGAATAGTTTCAAAATTCCCTGGCTTGGCTATTGTCTCTTTTCGTCAAGGAATGAAGTAGATGCAACGTCCCACTAGCTAGTTTGAGAGAGGAGAAAGATTCATATGCAACGAATTTAATACCGTTGTAACATTCTGAATCACTAACACAAAGTCGTGGGAAGAGTCTTAGAATATATTTACCGTCGTTGTGACGTTTCGAATCACTGTGACAATAGAATGTCGCCTGTCTGTTAAATACCAACCATGCAATCGCAACTCCTTACTTTGAGGAATAAAATATTATCATGCAACGCAAGGTCATATTTTCTCTTAGGATTGTGTGCCAATCGGTCGACTCTGGAATTTGTTCCAACCATTATTTCACACACAGGTACATACAAATATATTTGGATGATAAAATCCTCGAATCAAGGGGTTAATTAATTTCGTTTTCATTAGATTAGATTAATGTTAGACTAAATAATATCGTAGGTCCAAAATTGTTGTTTAAATGCCGTTTTCATCGTTAATATTAATTCATTACAAAATGCACTTGATAATGCATTCAGTCGTCATTGCTGGCTGCTTATGAACCTTTTAAGATTATGGACGACAAGACGCTGTTCTTTGATTGAAGAAATGGCGCGCCACGTGTAAGCAAAATATAATTGTACAATGCAATAATACATATTTATACAGTACGTTTTGGAAAATGCTTGTCTTATGATTAACGCGTCTTTATTCTACGAACGTAATAATTTAAACTATTCATTCTTTTTTCTTTTTTTTTCGAACGCAACTATTCATTCTTTTTAACATTAAATAAAGTGGAAGAACGAGTAAAATCCCTATGAAGATACACAATCATTATCCATAGATTTCCATCTTATATAAAACCAAGATTTTGTATTGGGATTATACTTACATCCACTTCATGGATGCGCCACTTTGTTCATCTACTACGATTAGCATATTTTATCATACAGATTGATTAATTATTATTTAAAGATCATACTTACACAAAAAAAAAAAAAATTAGAAATAGTTTAGTCATTCATGTACATCCACTTCATGATGAACCTTCCATTTATTCGAAAATATAAATGACTAAATATTCTCTAGTCTAATTGATTTTTTTTATATATAAATGAACTATAGAAGATATATAAAAGATCATACTTACAAAAAAAATAAAAAATAAAAAAAGCAAATTAGAAATCGTTTAGTCATTCATGTACATTCACTTCATGATGAACCTTCCATTTATTCGAAAATATAAATGACTAAACATTCTCTAGTCTGATTGATTTTTTTTAAATAAATGAACTAGAGAAGATATATAAGAAAATAAATGGGTAATGTCAGGGAGATTCAATTTATAAATAAAATTTTGTAGATTAAATAACATGGAAGTTGATGATTGGATTATTACTAAACGTTGATAAACGTGCTCATTCCTGTTGGTGATAGATAATTTAGTTTACTAATTTTGTCTACAAATTTAGTCTATAAATTTAGTCTTCCTAACATTACCCAAAATAAATAGTTCTCAATATGAAGTTGTAATTGGTGGACATAGTGTTGTCCCATAGGGCTACTTGGCTCAAATTTCGAAAGCTGCTCAAGATTTCTTATAACCATGATTAGAAAAGCTTCCAATCGGTTTCTTCTTATGTCATTTATTTGACGAACCAAAAAGTGTGGTCATCATAGTTTTCATAATCTCTCGTGAACAACAACCTAAAATTTGTAGGAGCAATTCAAGGGCTAAGAACTTAAATTTGCATGAATTTGTGGATTGATTCGTCAGGTTCTGATCGATCTATTGATCACAAGCAACCTACTTTTGGACCATTCGCTAAAGGTTTTCTGGTATATGCATGGGTTTGAGTTTTCAAAATTAAACAAGAATTTGGACGGCCCACGTTGATGACTTATAAAATGTCACCGGCTGTAGCACTAGTGTACTTATTTTGGAGAAATTTTTAATTGTGACGGAAACACAGATTGTACACCACGTGTTTTTATGCAAGTGGTAGAAAATTTTAATTTTTAAGTTATTAACCTTTTAACACATATAACCCACCATTTATATAGGGACACGTGGTGTACCATCTCGTGTGACGGTCGCATTGAAAAATTCTCCTTATTTGGACCCTTCTTAATTACTTGTTATTTCCTTGCTTAATTTGTGGATTTGGGAGTGAGACCTTCCAACCTCCTCCTCTCTCTTTGGCTTGGCCATGCACATGCAATAGATCATATATATATATATATATATATATATATATATATATAGATCTCTATGCTGATATTATTCTTCTATATATATGATCCGTGATCCCAATATATATAATTATTATATATGTGTACACACACACACACACACATATATATATATATATTGTACGTAACGTTTGACCTTAGCTAGCAGCTACATGCGATGGAAAGCATGAACCGTGGAGGAAGTTTCTCCTTCAGCTGCTCCGATTCTGACTTGAACTTTTCTTCCCTCTCACATTTCACCGACAACGACGATGACGAAGACGATGAATCTTACATCGAAATAGCACTTGACCATCACCATGATCATCCTAAACCGTCAAGCCAAGATGATGATGAGGAGGATGATGAAGATCTTGGTCGTGGAGGACTAGACCGTGTGGATTACTTGCGCATATCGTTTTCGTCTAGTCTTCTCCCGGAGCTCTCCGCCACCAACCTCCCTCCCAATCACGTCTCTGAGGCAGCTGATCACCCAGTAAACCAGATTCCGTCGTCGCCAACGGTGTCATATTCTTGCCTTCCGAGCTCTTCTTCCATGGAAGACAGTTGTAGGAATCCGATAGGATTGGATGAGCCTTCAAGGCTCCGCAGAAGTACTAGCGCAAAAGGAAGATTACCCAGAGTTAACCGGCTAGTCAACACGCTGCTGTTTGGTCTCCGGTCATCATCGGAGTCGCCTACCCCCGCGGACGACGCTGACCTGTCACGGAGCAGGTATGCTATACTAAGAAACAACTAAACCATTGTCTTTGTTATAATAGTGGTTAGTCTTGTTGAAAATTATGCACCAAAACTATAATATATGTACTTGTTAGTATAATATTATTTAACAATCATATCATAATAGCATATGGACATGGTGTTACAGGGACGTACGATACTTGAACATTTTTCTTGAAAGTAAGCGTTCTTACATTTTTGTCAATCTTATTTTGATATATGTGTACATAAATTTTTTTGTTGTTGTCTGCATATGTATCAAAATGTGATTTGTAAGAGTGAATAATAACTTAATCGTAAAAAGAAGCTATATAATATATATATATATGCCTATATATGTGTAAACTGTGATTTGCAGTAGTTATATCTGAAAGTTTAGAGGTTTTTATATATGTGTTAAGGTGTTAGTTTTATAATTTCTTTGAGTTCGTAACACCAGGTCTTCGTTGGAAAATGAATGATATTTGATAAATAATTTAACTACACAAAAAACAAAAACTAATATCATACATGGATTTAATATCTTTGACTAATTATTATATGGCATGTGTTTGCATGAAATTAAAAAAGGAAAGCATCAAACATCAAAACCTCAATAAACGGTGGCCTCATGAAGTTTCTCTTCAAGTTCCGAGCCATGAATCTTGGAGCACTGGTAGCTTCATTTGTAAAGCCCCGCCAAGTTGCTTATGACGATGACGATCCTCATCAATCCCAAAACATTAATCGTCGATGCAAGAACAAGAAATCGAAGGAGAGTAGTAGCAGTACTCTTCAATGGTTGGTTCAAAAGAAGCAAGGGAAAAGCAGCAGGACCAAGAACTCTTCAGAAGCAGTAGGAGGAGGCATTAGTCGCAAAGAAAGAAGAACAAGGAGCTGCCAAAGTTCAATTAAGTCTTCCCCAATTCACCAAGGATTTACAAGTGATGACCATAGTAATAAGGTATATCTTTATAAAAGAGAAACCTCAATTCAGTCTGCAATTGCCCACTGCAAAACTTCATTTGAACAAACATCCATATCCTGATTAATTTTGGCTTTTCTCCAAATTATCAACACCCACCAGTTTATAAGATGTTGTTGCTGCCGGAACATGGAATCAAACTACTTGTTCGGCGCGTGAGAACATAAAAAACCACATCTGTAATAGAGGTAGAACTCATCTGCACTACGATATGCGATCAATTTTTGTGATAGATGTACATACTCATATGGTTATCCATCTCATACATATTTGAATTGATGAATAACAAATGTTAATTACCTGGTCTCTCACATTAGTATATGCTTAACTCCTCCCCTGAAATTGTTTTTCAAGGCTTGGGCTAGAACCCAATTATTAGTATGTATTGGGTTGGGCTTCGCTATATACCAATTTCTTCGGCACAATTACTATTCTTTTAGGTGGGATTGGACATAGAATCCACATACTATAAGCAAAAGCCGAAAACATGATTAACGGAAAAAATGAAAAAAACGGTATCAATTTTCATGTTTTCACTCTCCTCTGATTAGTAGAATTTATACCAAAGCATAGAGATAAGTTAAAAAGGATACATATCGATATCATGTAGTTAATTAAATACATATCAATATTCCATGTAAAAAAAGCAAAGCAAATCTTTCCTGGGTTATAAACAAGGCAAAATTTACAACATTTTTTTTTAGAGTAAATTGTAGCTATGGTTCCTTAACTTTAACTCAATTGGAGCAATGGTCCCTCAACTAAAAATCCATTACCATTGGTCCCTCAACTTTAATTCAACTGGAGAAATGGTTCCTTAACTTCAACCAAATTGTAGCAATGATCCTTCCAACATAACTCGTTTTCACAAAATTTTTGACGTAGTTGAAAAAAAGGACTATGATTACACAATTTGATGAGTTGAGAGACCCTAATTGTATAAATGGTCATTCCAACATAACTTATTATGACAAAATTTTGATGAAATTGACGAAAATGACTATAGCTACACATTTTGATAAGTTGAGGGACCAATGGTAATGGATTTTTAGTTGAAGTACCATTGCTTCAATTTGATTAAAACTGAGGAACCATTGCTACAATTTTTTTTTTTTTTTACTCTTAATCTTTCTCCTAATCATAGTTAGCTGTAAAAATCCGACATAGCCTAATCAATACACTTGTGGCAGTAAAAAGCAAAAAACCCTAGAAGCCGCAAAGTAAACGTAAAACCTAAAACCGCTAAAGTAGTAAAACCGAGACCACTTTTTAGTCAAACCTGGAATGGCTTCTACACTTTGCCACTTGTAATAGCTAAAAGCCGAAAAAGCAAGCTTCCAGTTGCAGAAAAGCAGTTTGGCTCAACTCAGAGGCGAAGATTGTGTTATTTGACGTACGTCCGACCTTGGCAGATCGCATTGAGCAGAAGCAACACCTGTTACTTATTTCTGCTTCTATTGGCCAAGAATAGTATATCACTTTAACTTTTAAGCTTTTAAATTCATTAAGGCAGCAACCTCACAAATCTGACGTCACTACTCACATTTCTTTTGGTAAAACTTGTAAGAAAATATACAGCACTTATTCCTGGCCCCGTGGAAGTGTAGGGAAGAAGCTCAAATCGTTCACGCACTTTCGAATGACGCCAAATCAAATAAAAATGTATTACAATGATTTACCCAATTATTTTATGAAATGTGTTGCTCTAATAAAATAAGTAATAGATTAAGTAGACAAAATTTTGTTTACTATTTTTTCATCTTTCATATTTTAATTTTATCTTCTTCATCCACATGAAATACTCTGCTATAAATAGAGACGTTAACCCAATTTATCTATAATGTTGAAAGTAGGCAGTGTTGAAGTGGGCAAAATTTGCCTACCCAATTAACTACACCCAGTTGAGCATGTTTTTGCCTACATGACATAAAAAAATTGGCCTATTTTACTAAGATGCTCTTATCATATGGGGCGTTATCTGTGTGGAATATCATGTTCACATTCTTATGCTAAGAAACAATATATCTAGCTAGAGAAGAATATTAGGCTCTGTCGTATTGCAATCTCTGGTAACTCTTAACAGTTGATGCACATAAAATTTTTCGCCAATTAATATAGGTCACTAACATTAATTACATTCGCTTGTATTAGTTCATGAAATATATATCAACTATATACATTCTCCACTTATATGATTAGCAGTATTAGGTTACGGGAATTCATTCATATAAGCTTTTACACCACTACCACCAAAGAGAAACCTAATCATATTAATTAGTATCTCGTATAGTCATAAGGCACTGTCATATATATATATATATATTTATATGTGTGTGTGTGTGTGTGTGTGTGTGTGTGTGGTTTAGGCGCTATTAATATAAACTTGATAATATTTTAATTAAGAAAAATGAGAGATGGATCAAAACATGAGTCTATTAAGACAAGAAACGTTTCATATCAGAAGATAGAAAAATAAAAAACCGATAAAAGTGGGACTCACATGGTCTTCTTAATTAAATTAGTCATATTCCATACGCCTTGATCGGTGACTTAGTGATCTCCAGAAAACCCCACCATACGTGTCAGTGTGTCACATAACATGATACATTAATTTTCAAATCAATTAACTTTAAAAACCTCCAATTTTCACTGGCTTTGCTGAATATTAAAGATCTCTCCAAATTAGGTGACGTTGGGTTCTTATATATACACACACACTCACATATATATATATGTATATATATTGGTTGGGATGGGAAGCGGTGATGGGAAAGAGAAGCAACAAATCTGATTCACTGATGACAAAATTGCATGTCGATGATCATGAGCTTGCTTAAATATGATTCATGTCTTGTTTTATTTAAACAGGTGTGAAGTTTATGGATATTTTCACAACGAGGTAACACACATCAGAACTCTGTCATGCATCACAATGACAGTCGTGACGAGTATGTATTGAACCAATTAGGTCATGTTACTCATAAATAATAAGAATTAAATAATTCGTATCTTTAGTTTTATGTGTTTGTTTATATATAGGTATGGCAAAGTGTTTCACTTTTAAATTTTTTTATGTGTTTATTAATACGTTAAAAAAATAGAAAACTGTTTTTTTTTTTCCTTGTCAGTAACAATTAGAAACCTCTTGGTTTTCTCTTAAAATTTATAAATCAAATATTTCAAAGTTATAAATCAAATATTTATTCCCTTTCTTTCCCTTTATTTTTGAGTTCTCTCATTCCTTACTTTTCCCATTCTTGTTATGTAAACATGTAGGACTTTTACTTGTAGAAAATAAGAATTGAATTCATTTTACTTTACGAGTATTTTGCGTTTATTAAAATATGTATGAGAAATATTTCACTAATTTTTCTGACTAGGTGTTTACTAACACATATGGAATAAAAAAAAAATGTGAGTTTTCTCTTGAAATCCATATAACCCAAATCCGATACCCTTTTCCTCCTTTCCATTTCTATAAGTTCTCTGATTCCTTTTTTTTCTTTTTCCAATCACATTTATGCTAGTCGAATCTGATAGGAAAACGTATTACTATACTGTTGAAGAAGAGTACAATATTTTATTGATTGAAACGAGGACATTACAAATACATATCATGAAGAATTAGGCCTCAAAATGGTTCTTGCAAACTAGACCTAAAAATATTATAATAAATCAATAACACCGTTAAACACTAAAAACTAATCGCAAAACACTGAGTAGACTTCAAGCACTCATTAAAAACCGAACTAATAAAAAATCGCAAGACTATATAAATCAATAACATCGTTAAACACTAAAAACTAAATTTCTGCTATTGGACGAAAGAAAAGTCGTATAAGTTAATGCCAATTGAGTGTGAGAAACATTACTCAAAACACGATCATCACGCGGAAGGAGGAGATTCCAGAAGCTTAATAATTGCAAGGAAACCACTATGGTAAAAGAGCGTAAACCCTAAAAATAGGAGTACGATGTGACTTCATCTTCTATATATGACTTCTTGCTTCTTCTCTTTCGATTTGATCTGAATCTGATCCTTTTTTTTTTTTTTTTTTTTGTATGAAATTTATTTATCTTATATACAAAGCCAAAGCCCCACTTTGGGGTCACAGCTTTACCAAAAACATAATATGACTAAAATGCCCTTCAGCCAAAAAATTCAAAAGCAGCAAAAAAGAATGCATAAAATAATACAAGGGTAATTTTAACAGTGTTTTTTTTAATAATTAAATTTTTGGTGCAGTTTCTCTTTTATTTATTTATTTTTATTTTTATAATTTGTATCTCACAATAGGTTAGCAATAATGTGATTCAATTTCTCTATTTTTAAAAACGTTTGAAACATCTTAATAAGAGGCGTGTAATGTCGGTTATAAAAAATATCTTTTGCACATGGATAATAATGTGATTAAATTAATTGTCAACTGATTGTTTTTTTTTTTTTTTTAACAAAAGATATTATCTACATTGAGGGATGGGATGGGCTTAGCCTCACAATGGGCTAGCAATAATGCGATTCAATCAATGGTTCATTAAATATTATTTTCTCTATTCTTAATGTAAATTTTATAGAGACCAATTTTACTATGTGAATTCAGCTGCTTTAATTGATTTATGAGGAGTTTCTTTTAGCATGATCTAAAATGATTCATTTACTTCAAATATTTGACTTTCCTTTTGTCAATTTACACATATAAATACATTTAAAACATGCAAGTCATGCGTAGTACGCCGTAATTCAAAAAATGTCTTCTGCACGCATGTGAGCATGTGCATGAAGGCTAGTGAATTATTATGTTAATACATCCAGCTACTACATGACAACAATTTATACAGCGTCCCAACATATTAATAATTAGTTGGAGGGGCATCGTCCCCCATTCCTCAACAGCCATTCCAAAGCCATTTTCTATATATTTGGGCTCGTTTATAAGTGCTTTTAAAATTACTAAAATGCTTTTAGAGAAAATGTTTATTAGTTCCAAGAACATCTAAAGTACTTCCAGCAAAAAAACACCACTTTTTTCAGAATTTATTTACAGTTTTATTAAAAATTGGTTAAAAAAAAAAAACAAAAATCACCAAAGACGGTTGTAGTCATTGTTTATATATAATATACTTCCAAACTAACCATTTAGCTATCAAACGACATGAGCATAATTTGTAAGAGACCCCACCGTCCTCAACCAACTACCTTTCAAACTATCACGCTTTATGTCGTTTAAAATTACAGCCAGTGACCGACTTTTCTACTACTCCTGGACTTGTAGTTGAAACGTTTTTCCGCTCACCAT